CAAAATTCTTTTAGATAACTTGGCTAAATAGTCCACCAAAGAAAAACTATGTTCTTTAAAGTCACAGATTTTTTCCAAAGAAAATACTGGGCTGAAAAATAATCTCTAACAATTCATAAAAATGAAGCCTGTATATCAGTCCCCACCAGGATCCGACCTTTGGTGTTTAATATGTGTTATCTATTTAAATTAAATAGTCTGGATTGAATTTAACATTACAAATTAATTTTTAATTCACAGATATTAAATCCCGACCATGCAGAGTCAGTTTCCCTTCTAAACAGTAATGAAATCAAAATTTTCTTTCAGACACTTATTAACTGGGGCTGTCACATTTGTCTTCTTCTTTTCTTATCCCAGACGACAGGCAGAAAGAGAAACAAGCAAGATTCTCCTTTTGCATTTTCTGTGAAATGAAACTGAAATTGAATACTATTGACTCTCTCCGGGTTAAGAGACACTTTCTCCTTCCCTCAGCTGATTCCCTGTAAACTTTGCAAATTAGCTCGCTTTGAGCAATCTGTAAAGACAGGGGCAGCTCGGCTGTGGGAACCGTCTTCTTCTTTCCAACGTGTATTATCCGGACCTACGTGACAGTTAATTCTTTATATCCTATACAACTCTTATATATCCTGTATAATAAAAGGCTATTATGCAAATTGTCCCCTCAACCAGGAGGCAGGCCAGCCAACCACCCATGTCCCTTTGCCCTGGCCAGGCTGGCCGGATCCCACCCATGCACGAATTGATGCAATGGGCCTCTAATATATAATATATATATTGAATGGCCAGATTATTATGTGTTCAGAGATCATAATGATCTGGCTACTCGGCATATGTTTGTATTGATTTTAGAGAGAAAGAAAGGGTGGGGGAAAGAGAGAGAGAAACGTCAATGATGAGAGAAACATCAGTATATGGATCCGTCATCAGTCAGGTCCTTAGCTACCTCCACGCCCTCTACAGGGGATCAAGCCTGAAACCCTGGGCATGTCCTTGACCCGGACTGGAGCAGGTGACCACTCGGTGCCTGGGACGGTGCTCAGCCAACTGAGCCACAGCAGCCAGAGCGGTGACAGTTAACTATGTGTGTCCGTTTGGATGGGCCACAGCGGCCAGAGAGCTTGCCAGGTACCATTCTGAGTGTTTCTGTGGGGAGAGGGGGGAGGGTTGATGAGATCCACATTGAATCCATCAACTTTGAGTACAGCAGGTTACTGTCCACAGGGTGGGTGGGCCTCCCCCAGTCAGCTGAAGGCCTGGGCAGAGCAGAGCCTGACCCTCTGAGAAAGAGAAGGCTCCAGCAGACTTAGACGTGAAGTGGAATGTCAACGCTTTTGGGGTCTCCAGCTGCCAGATTTGTCAGCCGGTTCCTCAGAATTAACTTCTCTGTCTCTATCTACAGGTACATATACTGTATATATACACACATATACATATACATGTGCATACACATATCCTATTGGTTCTGTGTCACCTTCTAGACTCTTTTGCTCTGTGTTTTTGGCAATCCTTGTAGACCTTAGATTGTCACTCATCCGGCACTTTTCCCAGGGGATCTGTCAACTGAAAATCTCGTCTCCCCACCCGAGTCTGACCCTGGCCAGCTTTTTCTCTGACGTCTGCCTCCACCACCTCAGGCATCTAACCCGGGCCAGGCTCTGTGTTCTGCTCAGAGATCTAAGCTCTGCCGAAGGAAAGGAGCCAAGTGCGTGGCGGCCTGTAACCTCCCCAAGGCGCTCACACTTTGTCCACCATCCAGCGACACCGCACCTCGGCCACGGACTGAACCCACCCAGTGGCAGGCTCATCCCCAGACGGCGTTCAGCCCGGCATCCAGCTGTCCTCTCAGAGAGTCCAAAAGTAAAGGACCATAAAAACGTAGAAGCACTGACCATGGGGTGGAGCCGGATAGTAAACGCAACACAGACACACTCACAGGACGTGCTCTTCGAGAAGCCAAAGCTTAAAAACGATGTCCACCTCCAACAGGAAGTGAAGCGCCCCGGTTCCTCAAAGACCCCATTGGACAGTGACAATCCACGCCGCTGGGTGGGAGCATTCGCAATCAACGTGCAGCAAGTGCTCAGACCCAGAAGATGCACTGGACAGGCCGGTGAGTCAGTGAGAAAGTGCAGACAGCCACGGGGGCACCACGGGCACGTGATCTGAGCCAGCCCAGCACAGTGTGGGTTTTCCAGCTGGCGAACCACAGCCCAGTGTGACCCCAACGCCCTTCCCCAGCCCGCCGGGGTGGGGAAAGGAGGCCCCAGGCCTGAGACCTGGGAGAGGAGGGGACCCGTGGGAGCGGAACTGGTAGAACTGGTTCACAAAGCCGCTGTGTGCCGTGATGTGGTGCACTGCGTCCCCTGTCACAGGGTAAGTCAGCTCTTCTGTCAGCCCAGCCCACGGGCAGGCCCGGCTGCACCCACAGGCTCACGTGAGCGAGTCCCTGCCAGCAGCACATCCCACAGGAGCCGGACGCCGGACACTACCTCAGCGCCCAAGAGCAGATGGAGAAATAAACAGCGGCCTCTTCCAGGGAGAAGGCAGGACCAACAGCCCCACACTGCCTGTGGACGCAGCTCACAGCATAACTCTGAGCAAAAGGGTTGGGGCAGAACAGAATATGGGACCAGCTATGGGGACAGGACTTTTCTGGCATATAAGACGTATTTTCTGGCATATAACCGTATTTTCTGGCATATAAGACGACCCCCTAATTTTACAGTAAAAACATAGGTTTAGGCCTATATTCGCTGTATAAGACTACCCCCCCTCCCCCCACTTCTGAGGCAACACCAGTTCTTTTTTCGATAGACCGCCTCTCTGACTCTGGCCAATCTGAGCAGGCTTTTTACTAGAACACAGTGTACATGTTCTGTACCCAAAGCTACACTGTGTTCTACTAAAACCCTGCTCAGATTGGCCAGAGTCAGAGAGGCAGTCTATTAAAAAAACAACTGGTGTTGCCTCGGAAGTTGGGGGTAGTCTTATACAGCGAATATAGGCCTAAACCTATGTTTTAACTGTAAAATTAGGGGGTCATCTTATACGCCGGAAAATATGGTAATCTTATCTGTTCACTGGATGGTTCTGCTCTGATGACAAGGCACCTGCTCGCCTGTTGGGAGCTGGGCGCCTGGGACAGGGGCACGCACATCGGAACTCAGTCCCTCCTCTTGTCCCCATCCACCTGTCCTTGTGGAGATTGGCAGCCTTCTGGCTGAGGCCATCTAGTCCCGGAGGCACCTGCTCTTCACCACCCCCATTCCCCTTCCCTGTGCTCTGGACCCGGGTGCCCCGAGGCTCCCCTCTCTGTCACACCCCCTACCCCCACCCCCCCACATGACTGTAACCTGTAAGGATTATCCCATGTCCACTTCCCATGCCTGTAATTCCTGCTTCCCACGAAACCTTTGTTTTTCTCCCCGATGTTAGCAGCCGGCTTGTGGGAGGCAGAGCAGATGTGTGTGGGTGACCTGGGCTCTCCCTGCTGCCGGCAGGACTGGAATGAATGCTCTTATAGGATCCAACTCTGTTCCTGCTGAGTCGGCTCAGGTAGCGACAGGCGGCCGGACCCCTGGGTTGTCCATTACAGAAGGAGTCAACCCAGAAAGAGGGACTATTGCATGGTTCCATTCACAGCAAGTTCAAAGGCCATGGATCCCTGTCCCTGGGATTGGAAGTGGAGAGCCAGGCTGCCCCGGGGAGGGTGGCATTGAAAAAGGGGGGTCTCCCTCAGGGGTTCCTGGGGTCCCAGAAGTGCTTTTGTCCGAGGCGGGTTCCCAGGGTACGTTCCCATTAGTCACCCACACCAACCTGGGCATTCCCAGTATCTGCACTTTCCCCAATCCTTGTTATCCTCAGATTTTTTATGAATATTATTGAAGAATGCACGGCGACCTAGGCCATGTCACAGAGGGAAGCGGAATATGTAAATCCAAGATAAACGCCTCCTGCTGCTTGCTGGGAGCCCACCAGCTCTGTCATTCTGTCACCCGCAGTTAGAGCCTCCGGGGAAAGGGAATTAATTTGCATACAAGGAGACAAGGTGGGCAAGCCACGCGTGGATTCCGCTGATCGATGCTGACAGGTGAGTTAACGCGCTCTCGGAGTTGACTTATTTCACGAAGGCGGCAAACAGCGTGAGTAATTGAGGAATACATTTTCCCGGGGACAAGCAAGCCTTCGGTGGACTTCGTCTCTAAACAACTCTCCACAAACCGGCTGACGGGTGTGTCCCGATTGGAGCCACAAGTGGCAATACCTGTGCTGCTGCTTCCTCAGTGGTCAAAAAACCACGGCTCTTGAGCCTCATTCGGCTCTTTAGCCCCTTGAGTGTACCTCAATCAGAGGTACCTATATAGTTTAAGTTTAAAAATCATGGCTCTCAAAAGAAATTTCAATCGTTGCACTGTTACTATCTGACTCTGTTGGCTAATGAGTTTGCCGACCACTGGCCTACTTCATCTTACATTTAAAAGGCTCTCAGGCCCAGCTGGTGTGGCTCCATGGTTGAGCATCGACCTATGAACCAGGAGGTCACGGTGCGATTCCAGGGCAGGGCACATGTCTGGGTGGTGGGCCCAAATTCTCAGTGTATTTTAAAGGCGATCTGATTAGGTACCAAACCTCAGGGGGAGGAGAGATGCTTACTGCCCCCAAAGACACGTCCTGGCCTGGTCCTTTGGGAAGATCAGCCGTCACTGCAGATGCAAACGATTGTTCAAAGTCAGAGGCTGCTGCGTATGTCCTTGTTTTACTGCCGTGTGCTTCTTGGTGTGTCTAGACTAGGGGTGTCGAACTCAATCAGAGAAGGGGCCAAAATCTAAAATCCAGCCTAAATCGCGGGCCGAATGGTTTACTGAACAGTCATAAACTGTCATTGTGATGGAAACGCAACGGAGTGCAGTGATGACAGCGCGGTGCGGGCCACATTGCAAGGCCTGGTGGGACGGATTTGGCCCGCGGGCCTTGTGTTTGACACATGTGGTCTAGACACATCACTGTGTCAGCCCTGTATGTGTGTCCAGTGGCATTAGGGACATTCGTGGTTATTGTGTAACCATCACCACCATCATCCTAGAACTTTCTCATCTTCCCACACCGAAGCTGGGCCCCATGAAACAACAGAATCCCTCCCACCCCCACCAGGCCACCTGCAGCCTCCGGTCTCCACGCGCAGCCATGTCCCCCAAACCCTTCGGCATCATGAAATGGTGCTTGTAAGTCACCAGTTCCGTGCCGTTTGTTCCACAAGAACAGAAACCAGGACAACCATGGCCCCAAAACATCAGACACCCCCGAGGGGGGGGTCTCCCACCTCCTTCCCTCTGCGGACAGGACTTCAAGGACCATCGCCTCTTTACACAGGAAGGAGCCCAGGTTCACCCCCCCGCCAGACCATGAGCTCCTGGGCCGGGCAGATAAGGAGGAGTCGAGAGAACTAGGAACATTCTGGAATTGGACCCCGAGTTCCCGAACTCACAGACTCGCTGAAGGCAGTTGCGTAGACACACGTCACGGACCCAGCAATGCGCCGAGCACCAGGGTGGTGATGGAGGAGGGGACGTACCCACCGGCCCCCACGGGGGCCCCACTGGCCCTCCCCAGCCCTCCCCGGCCCTCCTGGCCCTCCCCGGCCCTCCCCAGCCGCGCACTCCCTGCTCTGAGCAGCGCGGACTCACCTGGTCTCCAGCTCTTCCACCTGCCTCCACGCTCCGCTTCCTCCTGCAGCACCAGCGGGCATGCGGGTGGTGCGGGCGCTGCGTCTCCACTGCCCAGTCTCTAAGGGCACCTGGGTGCAGCCCTGCCCACACCTGTTCCAGCGAGAGCCTCCAGCCTGTTCCAGTGAGACAGACAGAAACACACAGGCGTGTTCACACGGGCATTTCCAGCACTTTCTGTCGGCTCTCCTGGGGCCCGTTTTTTGTGGTTTTGGGGGGGAAGTTAAATACATTTTTATTGATTTCAGAGAGAAAGGGAAGGGTCTAGGGTTCGCTCTGACTGCAGGCTGGCCGCTGTTGCCCGGTGCCTGTGTTAGAATTCAGGAGAGACAGAACCGGCTGTGAGTTCATCGCCGGAGAACAGCGTGGATTCGGAGGGAGAGCCGAGTGGAATACAAAGGGCCCTCGGGGACGCCCTGGCTGTCCGGGAGACAGCTGCACGGCTGCATCTGACAGGCCTGACGGCTCCCTGGCTGGTGCCCCACCGTCCCTCCGTTAGCTGGATTTGATGTCGTCCCTCCCGTTAGCTGGGTTTGATGTTGGAGGGAAGGAGGCCGTGGAGGCCCCCAGGCCAGCAGCCTCCCCGCCTGCAAGACCAGCTCCTCTGATTCCGGCCCTTCGTCCCGGCCTCCTTCCCGCTGCGGACAGGACTTCAAGGACAGAGATGCCCCCGGGGTTCCCACTCGAAGGAGGGGATGCGGTGGCCCCCAGGACAGAGGAAAAGGGTGGGAGAGGACGAGCTGGCGTGCGGAAGCCTGAAAGACCAGAGGAAGTGGGCCCAGGTGAAGCCACTCAGGGCGTCTCAGTCTCTGCACTGGTTCCTGGCCCCTGTGACTGGCCCCACTCCGCGCCCCTCAGGGAAGGTGGCCTCAGCCCAGCTGGGCCGCTCCCCCAGTCCCAGGCCATGTCCTGTCAGAGGCTGGAAAAAGGGCTCCTTTACACCATAGTATGCACTGGGGACACGGGGACATGGCTGCAGCCCAGGCCTCACGTTCCACATGGAGAAGCACTCCCCGCGACTGAGACCCCGGCCGGGTTCCTCACCCACACCGTCCCCACACCCCTCCCCACACCCACACCCCTCCCCACACCCACACCGTCCCTACACCCATACCGTCCCCACACCCCTCCCCACACCCACACCCCTCCCCACACCCCTCCCCACACCCACACCCGTCCCCACACCCACACTGTCCCTACACCCACACCGTCCCCACACCCCTCCCCACACCCACACCCGTCCCTACACCCCTCCCCACACCCACACCCCTCCCCACACCCACACCCGTCCCTACACCCCTCCCCACACCCACACCCGTCCCCACACCCCTCCCCACACCCACACCCCTCCCCACACCCCTCCCCACACCCACACCCGTCCCCACACCCCTCCCCACACCCACACCGTCCCCACATCCCTCCCCACACCCACACCGTCCCCACACCCCTCCCCACACCCACACCCGTCCCCACACCCACACTGTCCCTACACCCACACCGTCCCCACACCCCTCCCCACACCCACACCGTCCCCACACCCCTCCCCACACCCACACCCGTCCCAACTCCCCTCCCCACACCCACACCCACACTGTCCCTACACCCATACCGTCCCCACACCCCTCCCCACACCCACACCGTCCCCACACCCCTCCCCACACCCACACCCCTCCCCACACCCACACTGTCCCTACACCCACACCATCCCCACACCCCTCCCCACACCCACACCGTCCCTACACCCCTCCCCACACCCACACCCCTCCCCACACCCACACCCGTCCCTACACCCCTCCCCACACCCACACCCGTCCCCACACCCCTCCCCACACCCACACCCCTCCCCACACCCCTCCCCACACCCACACCCGTCCCCACACCCCTCCCCACACCCACACCGTCCCCACACCCCTCCCCACACCCACACCCGTCCCTACACCCCTCCCCACACCCACACCCCTCCCCACACCCACACCGTCCCTACACCCATACCGTCCCCACACCCCTCCCCACACCCACACCGTCCCTACACCCCTCCCCACACCCACACCCCTCCCCACACCCCTCCCCACACCCACACCGTCCCTACACTCCTCCCCACACCCACACCGTCCCCACACCCCTCCCCACACCCACACCCGTCCCTACACCCCTCCCCACACCCACACCGTCCCTACACCTCTCCCCAAACCCACACCCCTCCCAACTCCCCTCCCCACACCCACACCCACACTGTCCCTACACCCATACCGTCCCCACACCCCTCCCCACACCCACACCCGTCCCTACACCCCTCCCCAAACCCACACCCTTCCTAACACCCCTCCCCAAACCCACACCCCTCCCAACACCCCTCCCCACACCCACACTGTCCCTACACCCATACCGTCCCTATACCCACACCATCCCCACACCCACACCAGTCCCTACACCCCTCCCCACACCCACACCCATTCCTACACCCCTCCCCACACCCACACCGTCTCTACACCCACACCGTCCCCACACCCCTCCCAACACCCACACCCGTCCCAACACACTTCCCTCGGAAGCTGGGCACTCCAGCCTCGGCTCCGGCCTCTTCCCCAGGAACACGGGGGATCCCACTCCTGGGAGGGAACCAAAGGTTTTCCCCCCTCAGCCCAGCACGTGACTGCCTCCAGCGGAATTCCGTTTTATCCCCTCACACCGCTGGGGGGGAGATTGATGACTGACTTAGAAGGAGCGGTTCAGGCACGGAGAGGGATGGCTCCTGCATTTCTCTTAAACGCACATAAACGCACGCACTTTTATTCCAAGCCCTCACAGTTCTGCCCACCGGTGTGGCTCAGTGGATAGGGCGTCGGCCTGTGGCCTGAAGGGTCCCAGGTTTGATTCCTGGCAGGCCTCATCCCTAGTAGGGGGCGTGCCAGAGGTAGCCTATCTGTAATTCTTTCTGGCTCTTAATGTTCCTCTCTCTCTCTCTCTTCCTCTCCCTTCCGCTCTGAAATAATACAAATAAATTTTTAAAAAATGCTTCGGCCTGCCGAAACTGGTTTGGCTCGGTGGATAGAACGTCTGCCTGAGGACTGGAAGGTCCCGGGTTTGATTCCAGTCAAGGGCATGTACCTTGGTTTCGGGCGCATCCCCAGTAGGGGTGGGGGGTGCAGGAGGCAGCTGATTGATGATTCTCTCTCATTGATGTTTCTCTCTCTCTCTCTCTCTCTCTCTCTCTCTCTCTCTCTCTCTCTCTCTCTCTCTCTCTCTCCTTCTCCCTCTCCCTTCTGCCCTGAAATAACACAAATAAATTATTTTAAATGTTCCGGCCTGCACCAACAGAAGGGTGGGTGACGCTCAGGGTCCTGCTGGAGGCGCCAGCCCTGGCTCCAGGTTCTCTCCCCCCGGAGGCCGGTAGAGAAAGCTGATGCTGCTCCCAACAGGCGTCAGCCTGCCTGGCCCATGCATCACCCGAGGCGATGAGAGGAAATCCACAGGGAGAGCCCAGAGGATCCTGGGAAGGCGCCGTGGGAAAAGCCCAGATGATCCTCGGAAGGCACCCTGGGGAGAACACAGGATCCTGGGAAGGCGCCGTGGGGTCCCAAAGGCAGACCTACTCTCCTTCCCCAGCTCCTGCCTCAGAGCTTCCGCCCTGGGAGTCTCCCCAGGGACAGCCAGTCTTCGTTATGTGAATGAGGTGGCTCCCTGTCCCCCTAGACAATGTCAAGACGGGGCTGGTCCCCGAAGCACCACGCCTGGGACTCCAGAGCTGGAAATTTCTTCTTTTGTAAATATGTTTTTATTGGTTTCAGAGAGGAAAGGAGAGGGAGAGAGATAGAAACATCGGTGATGAGAGAAGCATGGATCAGCTGCCTCCTGCACACCTTACACTGGAGATCGAGCCTGCAGCTCGGGCATGTGCCCTGGCTGGAGATCAAACCGTGACCCCTGGGTTCCTAGGTGGACGCACTTTCTCGGCAAGCACTCCTGGGGCACGGACACACAATGGCTGCCTGCTAAGAGGCACAGAATTCCTCACCTGATATAACCGAACCGATGTCGTATGGGCCGTGTTCTCAGACCACAATGAGAGGTGGATGCCCAGCACACAACAGAAAGCAGCCCGTGTGGTTCCAGCGTAGAGCCTCTGAGGGTTGGTGCGAACACGGCTGGTGTGTCAGCGTTTTTCTCCTCCTGGAAATCAGAAAAAAGCAGTCAGGAGAACAAAGCCGTTTTGCAAACTCCTTATTTTTTGCAGCGAAAGTAGGAGACAGAGCTAACCCACAGACTACAAATGATGTGGAGAGCTGCACGCTGGCCACTGACTTGAGCAAAAGCTACTCCGGCTGGAGCCTCCCAGGTTCCTGGGCGCAGGGGGAACCGACTGGGTGGGGCTCAGGGGGACCCCAACAGGGCGGGGTGTAGGGGGGCCCAACAGGGCAAGGTGCAGGGGACCCCACTCCCAGTTATGAAAACAACAACAAACTGCCTGGCTCTCCTGAGTCTTGCTGAGGAAATTAATCAAGGCTGAGTCTCAGGCTAGCAGAGTTGTTTTTAAAGTCTGGGTGTTTGACTGTAGAACTAAGACATAAACAAACGTAGGGCCAGGGAGACGGCGCTGTGCCATCATGTGCCCTGGAACCGCACAGAAGGATTCGGTCGTGGGAACATGGCAGGAAAAGGAGAAGGAGGCGGGAGGTCAGCGAGCACCCTGCACGCGTCATCGGGGGCTGGGGAGTGGGACTGGTGGAGGGAATAAGCTCAGTGTACCCTTGTCCTCAGAAGGGGACTCATCCATGTTCTTAAGGAAGCCGAGTGCTCAGTCATTACAGGTGGCAGAAAAGCAATCTTGGCTTACAATTGGCAACACTCCCAATTATCAAAATAAGCAAGGAAAGCAAACAGGCTGCACAGTTAGCAATAGTTCTTTTAAATATTTTGGTTTTTATTGGTTTCAGAGAGGAAGGGAGAGAGAGAGACAATGACATCGGTGAATGAGAGAATCATGGGTCGCTGCCTCCTGCTCGCCCCCTACTGGGGATGGAGCCCACAACCCAGGCTCGTGTCCTGACCGGGACTCAGACACGGGACCCTTCAGTCCGCAGGCCGGCGCTCTGTCCACTGGGCAACACCAGCCAGGGCCCCCCTCGCCTTTTCCTGGCTCGGTGGCTGGCTTCCTGTGAGCTCTGAACCGAAGCCCGCGGTCTGGGTGGACCCCCGCCTCGGTGCCCATTCGCCTGCCCGGCAGCTGGCCGCCCCGGGTTCGGCAGCCGGGCACGAAGCGCCGTGAGCACCTGCAGGTGGGTTCCGTGTGGACGTCGGTTTTCAGCTCCTGGGGGTGAACGCCGAGGATGGGGTGCCGGGTGGTGCACTAAGGGGTTCCACTTGGTTCGCTGTTTCTGAGCCCAGAGGCACCATGTGCCATGGCTGAGTCACTGAGATCCGGGAACCTGACAGCGCAGGAGCCGCTGACCCAAACCGTGACCTGGTGAGGCCAGCAGGGCCCTGAGGACGGCCCCAGGAAGCGCCTTCCTGCACAGGAGGCCCGGGGCCAGGAGCGGGCACAGGGGGCCAGGAGCGGGCACAGGGAGGAACCACCCGGGAAGGCCAGGCCAGGCTGCAGGGACCGGGACAGATGCTGGGATCAGAGTGTCGCACTTGGTGAGTGGGGACACCATCTCAGGTGAAACTGGCCTGAAAGGAGGCGGAATTCGGCCTTTTACAACAGCGTGTGCCTCCAGAGGGAGAGCAAATAGAATTAGATCCCCATCAATAACCCAGCGGGGCCCCTGGCGTCTGACAGGATCAATCCGTCTGCAGCCTGGAGCGGGGCCCTCTGGCTGGGGAGTCCCGCCGTCCGTCCGAGGGGGAGGCTGTGGGCCGAGCGGGTGCAGAGAGGGGAGCAGAGTGGGAGGGGCTGGGATTGATCTCTAAGACATCACCACACTCTCTGCAGATGGGTATTCCTCATGAATGTGTGGGAGGCTGTTCCTCCCCCATGTGGATTAACTCACTATTTCCTTTCTTGCTCAGCGTCTGGTCTCTGAAATTCTGGTGTTTATTCCTCATCGACCATTACCAGTGGGGTTTACCTAACACGGGCATCTCACACGCACTCACACACGCCTCCCCCGTGCCTCGTGCACTGGGCAGGCCGGCACGTCTCTTCTGTGGGAAGGCCACATGGCAGAGCGGTGAGAACTAAAAACCACCCCTGGCCACCGCGGCTCAGTGCGTGAGCATTGACCTATGAACCTGGAGGTCACAGTTGGATTCCAGGTCAGGGCACAGGTGCAGGTTGTGGGTTCCATCTCCAGTGGGGGGCATGCAGGAGGCAGCCGATTCATGATTCTCTCTCATCATGGATCTTTCTATCTCTCTCTCCCTCTCCCTTCCTCTCGCACATCAATAACAACATATTTTTTAAAAAGCATCAACAAATCCCAACCATTTTTTTTTATTTTAAGAAGGAAACTAGAGGTCCGCTGCACAAAATGTATGCACTCAGGGGTGTCCCTCGGCCCAGCCTGCACCCTCTCACTGTCCAGGAGCCCTCAGGAGATGTCTGAGACCTTAGCTGGGAGCGAGACTAAGCCAGCAGTCAGACATCCTTAGCGCTGCTGCAGAGGCAGGAGAGGCTCCCACCACACCAGCCTTGAGCCCGGTTCTGGACTTCCACCAGAGCTCCTGCATTGAACGTCTGCCCCCTGGTGGTCAGTGCACATCATAGTGATGGGTTCTCCCACCATTTGGCTGATTTGCATATTAGCCTTATATTATTTAGGATTAAAGTTCCGAGGGACTCACTCCTTTGCCCAAAGTAGCAGAGCTCATCCGGCTCAGAGCCAAGCATCAAGGCAGGTCCAAGAGCAAAGCCTGCACCCTCCGGGATCCCACAGCCGTTCACACGGAGCAGCCTCTCCTCTCGTCCTCCTGTCGGTGCCAGGTGGCTAACGGATGGCGGTCATTCGGCTCTCGTCCCCACTGAACTGATCGGCTGCCTGCTCTCCTCCTGAAGGCCGTTACTCACTCCTCCCGGAGGCATCCATCTCACCCCCGGCCTTCGCAGCCGGACGCGGGGTAAGCAGCAAGGACTGCTGGAGCCAGAGACCGTCGGCGAGAGCAGCATCGGCCAGCCTCCCGAAGCCCGGCACCTGGAACCGCGGTCCAGCAGCTCATCTGCGCAGGAGGAGGCACGTTCTCTCGCAAACGGGCTTTGCCAACACACGGCCATTTCACACGCCGTTGTAATACAGACGGGCCTGGGGACCAGGCTCTTGTCAGCATTGCGAGCTGCTGCAAATGTGGGTATCCGCAGGCAGGCGATGTGGTCACAGCAAGCTGCCCTCAAAGGTACCGGGAGGTGTGGCTCAGTGGGTAGAGCATCTGCCTGTGGACTGAAGGGTCCCAGGTTCGATTCCTGGTCAGTGCACATGCCCAGGTTGTGGGCTGGATCCCCAGTAGGGGGCGTGCAGGAGGCAGCCGATCCATGATTCTCTCTCATCATGGATGTTTCTCTCTCCCCCTCTCTCTTCCTCTCTGAAATGAATAAAAATATATTTTTAAACGTGAACTTGAGTGAACGCTATTGCAGATGGAGCCAGATGGTTTCCAGGGTTTATTCCCACTCAGCCACCTGTGATTCTTTTCCATGAAAAGAGAAGACAGTGGGTGAGCAGAGCCCTTGGCCGGAGACATAGGGGAGCTCCGCTGGCGTGCCTCCTCGCGGGCTGGGAAGGCAGGCGGACCCTGGATCCTTCCCTCAGAAGGGCCCACGTCAGCCTTTGCCCAGCGAACTTCCATCCCCCAAACCCGAGGGCGTTTCTCGGTCCCCCGATCTTTGGGGGCCACCCGCTCTGTACATCTATCATTCAGGTTTTCCTGAGTCTCTTTCATGGGGGAGGCCAACTTTTCCAAACACTCCTTAGTGTCAGACATGGCCATGCCCACACTTCTTTTCCTCCAAATCACTCTTTGTGTCATTTTTTAAAATTTTTATTTGTTTATTGATTTCAGATTGGAAGGGAGAGAGAGAGCGAGAGCGAGAGCGAGAGTGAGAGAGAGAGAGAAACTCAAGGATTGGAAACATCAAGGAGAGAGAATCATGGATTGGCTGCCTCCTGCACACCCCACCCTGGGGATCGAGCCTGCACCCTAGGCATGTGCCCTGACCGGGAATTGAACCCTGACCTCCTGGTTCATAGGTCGACACTCCACAACTGAGCCACGCAGGACAGGCCATTGCATCACTTAAAGGGCTGGTGACACACTTCTTCAGAGAATTCATGCAATCTTGGAGCCCTGGTGTGCCTCTGCCCTGCCCCGGGGTGCAGAGCTCGCCTCCTGCACCACCTCCTCCCTACCCTCAGGCCTCTGCTTTCTGGAAGGTCCAGGAGGGGACGTGGAGCACTGGCTCCCCATTTCCTTCCCAGGGAACTCTCAGCTGCACCTTCCCACACAGGAACCTATCATCAGGCCTCGACTGCCCCCTGGCGCTCGGCAGTGGTAATGCAGCCTCCATAGGCGACAACTCCCGAAAAGGCAGAGGAGGGTGTGTGCACCGCCTGGACCCTGGTCCCCGCAGGTCCAGAATCCTGTGAGAACGGACGGCAAATACCGAGGGCACTGAGTTGTCCTGGCTCCGGCGTGGGCACGCGGGCCGCACTACTCTGCTCAAGCCGTGCTGGCAGGTGGCAGCACTTTCCGGCATCCGGGTTCTCTGCACCTGCTGCCTCTCCTACGGGGATCCTGGGTGACCTGTGTCCTACTGGGAGGCTCCCGAGATGTATGTAAACTTCAACAGCTGACCGCTCCCGTTTGGAAACGAAATGCATGTTAAGCATCACTGCCTTTAAAATCACTCAGGGTGGGACCCCGTGTTTCCCTGTCTCCCCTCGGTTAGTGGTGCTAGTCCTTGCACATGTGCTAACATGGACACGCAGCATCTGTTATAGCATGTGCGTGTGTGTGTGCATGATCTCCATATGGTCCTCTGTGTACGAATGTCGGGCTGTGAGTCACGTGCACACGATGAGCTGGATTCCACGGGCTCGCTGTCGTCCAGCTCAGGAGAGTCAGGCGGGCCTCCTGGGTGGAGGCGGGGGCACAGGGTGGGGGCTGTGGGCTGCTCCCCAGGATCGCCTCCTGCTGGTGCTTTCTGAGCCTGTGGTCCTTCCTTGGATTTCTCGAAGCGCAGCAGCGCCACCTCGTGGTGGGACGCTTTTCCTCCTGGGGGCTGGTCCTGGACCTTGTCCTAGGCTGCAGGCTAGGCCTGGTCCTGCCCTCCTTTCATGGAGAAGACAGACTGGAGTCCAGTTTGCGCTGTGGGCAGGGACCAGGTCCTCTACGTGACCACCAGGATGTGGAACCTGAGAACTCTTCCCAAGCAGTGGGAGTTCACCGCCGTCACAGCGAAGTCAGACACGCTTCGCCTGAAGAGAGACACGTTATAACGATGACGGGTGGCTTCTTCGACAGAAACACATCGCACAGGGATGCCTCGTCTACAAGTCACTGGTTTATATTCAGGTATTCCACAGGTTACTGCAGATAGATGCAAAGCTTC